TGCACTCAAAACCCACTGAAACCATATGAGCATTTTGAAACTTCACCAGTATTTCTTTCCTTGGCTTTGAAAGAAATCAATGAAACAGAGAGAAAATGAACCCTCATTGTTATGATCATCCTTCTACTTTTACAGGAGAGATTCTCCAGGCAAAGATTGCATTAGATAGGTAGAAGGATAGGTTTCTTGTACATTTCTAACAGAAAAAGATAAAAATTACTTCTTTCTTACCTCGCTCCCTTTACTTTTCAATAAAAAAGCAGTCCTGGAGTGCATACATTTTAGTAAAACTATATACCACACTACATGCTATAGATATAAATGCTTGTGCATTTCAGTAGTGTAAACTGTTTACTATGTCTGCATCCTCCATGTTTCAAAGGGGCTTGAAAGGTACTTAAGAAAATCCTCTGAAGGACTAAATAGGGGAGTTTCATGAACGGTGTGCTAACAGAAACAATAGTGGCATGCCCTTGAGACTGGAGTTCCTTCAGACTAGTTAAATATCTGTCCTTCATTAGTCCCCATTTCCCAACCAAACTGTTCATCTATATTATTACCCATTCAGAAGGATGTGCTTAATAGCAAACGCTCATCTGTAAAAGGTTTCATTTATTAGTTTCATTTCAAAGTGCAGACCGAAGGCTTTTATTGCAGCAACAGTGGTTGTAAAAGAACAGCCGCAGTGCACACTTTTTGGAAGACCCAAAGCCACCTGTACATAGAAGGACATATCAGACAGAAGAATATAGGACTGGCCCAGTGCTTTCTCGTGTAATACTTACAGCACAAAACTGAATATAATATGGAATTCTAATGCCAACCCTATATCTAGCAAACAAAATCATGTGGAAGAAATTGAGCTAAACATATGCATACACACAATAACCAAAATGGTCACTCTTGATTTCACCTCTGGTGCTAGGTATGGAAGTCTGTTGCTTTTCTGACAATTTTACTAACCTTCCTCTGTGGTACGAGCAGACTTTGATTCACTGTCCATTCCTTGGAATTCATTGAAATAAGGGCGAACTTTAATTTCATAAGTGACCCCCTTTTTCAAGCTGACGAGGACAGCACTGCGCTCAGTTGGGACTTTGACCTCCAAATTCTGCCATACAGCTGGAGAAGGCAGGCCAGACGTTTGGCGATACATTACCCGGTAGCCCTGAATAAACTGGGATTGGCGGTCAACCTAGAAATGGCATTAAATAATACATAAACAAACATATTAAAGTAACGAATCTTTATGAAAAGAAAATAGAACATTTGCCTAGAGTACGTTTGTCCCCATGAAAAAGAGAAAATGAACAGCTGTTTAAGATGCTGAATTTAAAAATCAAACTGCTTTCTTGTAAGTCACTTGATTAATTCTCTATAAAGAACTTTTTTCTCACATTAGTTGTAATAGACAATTTCTTTCTATTTTACTTTCTCCAGCTCTATATATCATGACAAATACCACCTTAAATCATAAAACAAGGCCCCATCCCTGCAACAAATCACCAAAAGAGAACTTTGGCATAATGCTTACTGCACGTAAACTTATTAAGCACATCTTGGCTACTGATGTGCTGAAATATGAGAAGAAAAGAAAAACAAATTCTTTTCAGAAAAGGACAAGTCTTTGAAGATATCCTACATGCTTTCAGTTAGTTCATTACTTGGCTCACAGCTCATCTTTTCATGAGATGCTCAGGAAAGTAAAATAAACATAAGACAGATGCAGAGAAAACAACTTCCAAGGACATGTGCTGTTTCTTGCATTCACGGTCTAAGCAGTCTCCTTGCATCATGGGGTTGTGATGCTCTCGGGCCATCAGATAGAGATGGAATGTTGGTTTTGATTTGTATTTTATATGTTCCTAGGCAAGCACAATTCAAGATTGGACCATACACAGAAGTTTAACAATTCTAACCTATCATAGCTATAAATAGGATTTTTATTTGAAGGAAAAACTTAAAATGTGTTTTATCTTGGAGAAGTTGCATGCATTTTTTCTCTTGCGGAAAAAAAAGCACAAAACAATGATTCGAGTTATTACGATGTTTGCATTAATTTTGCCTGAAAAAACAGTAAAAATGATTTGATGGATAAAACTAAGCCAAACCCAGCTGTTTCTGTAGCCATCAAATAAAGAGCCGAAGACAGTGCAGCACAAATAGCAAGACTATACAACTAGCTGTTTGGTAAATCTCTGGATTATAATTAAGATTCAACAAGTAGGTTTTCTTTTCTGTTCTTGACAATTTGCTAGCTCAAAGATATTTCAGAATTAGAGATACATTTGTTTGACTTCTCTTAAGAATAAATGAATTTAAGGCTGAAAACACAAACCAGGGTCTATTACGCTTTTCCTATAATCTTGTTACAGTTTATTGAGGCATTCAGAGGGGACACAGATTCGTAGACATTAAAAAGCAGGGCAAGCAAGAAGAAAGCTTTATTTATGAGAGCAAAGCAGAAATGCCTTTCATCAAAACTGTCACTGTTAAAAACCTTGCAACATATGTTACAACAACATTAAGCTTGCATTTTATAAACTTCTCTACATTCACTTTAAGTGAATTTATGCACTGAAAGAGGGATATAACTCACAATAATAGCTTGTTAATACCGAAAGAATCAAGCTGTGTTTTTAAGAAGAACATTAAGCAGCTGTTTCCAGATGAAGGGAGTCTGTAAATCAGAGTAAATTGTTTTTATCCATGTTTGACTTTCATTAACTAAATGTTTTACAGACATAAAGACTTTATGAACCTCATGTTTACTACAAAATTCAGCAAGAATAATGCTTTCATGCACTTTGTAACACAGATTCTCAACCTAAATTACAATATAAGGCTATGATGTTTAATAATCAAACACTGAGTTTGATTCCTGCCTAACTTCTGAGTTAGAAGCTACTCTGAAAGACAGCAAAACTTTGTTAGAACTTTCCATTTTGTCTTTGCTGTGCTCTAAAGCTGTACTGACTGCTGCCTAGTGGAGAACATCTGAAAATTCAGAATTGACTAGGCTGAACAGTAACAGTGTGGTGCTACAAAACTGTATGGAAACTGTTTTGTACAGCATGGTACAAACACAAATACATCCACCAACTCACTGAGAAGAATTGGACCCCTATACCTATAAGTACACTAATTTTGAGTCCACCACATTTTCGTATCTACTTACATATAGGCAATTTACAAATTATTCATACACCTCGTTTCCTCCTAGACTTCTAAGTTCTTAACCTAAAAGACTAAACAATACAAGCAATATGAAAACAGAACGCAGTAGTACAACACGCTTGTCATGTATATGAGTGCTATAAACTGGCTTGATTTGGGGCTTACCCAAGTTTCACAGAGCATTCAATTAGAAGTGTGATTACAACAGGGCTGAATGACCTGTCCAAATTTCAGAGTATTGATACTGATTCCATTGTTCAGGGTCTGGGAGGGTACTTATGAAAGGAAATACTACGCATTTTTAATGTTTTCTACAAACACCCAGTTGCATTCAGTATCAAGGAGAGGATACAAAGCTATTTCTCATGCCCACTTAAAGCTAGTGTGAATGAACAAGGACCTTCATATTGGTCAAAATGTTGGGAAACTACTCAGAGGGCGCTTCACTTATTGAGAAAGGTGGATTTTTTATTTTTTTTTTTTTTTTTGTTCGGAGTTTTCTGATTAGAAAAAAATTACCATTGGATAATTACATGGACTAACCAGAGATATTTGTGAGGTATAGGGCAGCTGTATTTCACATATACATACACACACACACATATATGTGTACATGTATATGTGTGTATACACATATGCATACATACGTGTATATGTCTATATATACATGCACACACAGTCTTATATATAATACAAAGCCTATGACTTCATCGTTTCCTCCATTTGTTCTGCGGTAATTATGGGCTACGCCACCAGCAGGTCACTAAAAATATGCTTAGCACTAAAGAACTGCATTCATCTGTGCTAAGCATCAAACAACTGTATAGCTTTGGTACACATTCACACATAGAGTTGCAGAAACATGAACCGTGATTTGATGAAAGAATGTAATCATTTCTGGGTATTCTCCTTTCTCTTTTTTTGTAAATGGTTGCCACTTCCTCATAAAAAGTACTTAACATTATTGCAGGAACTCTCTGCGCTGAATACTGGGATCAGAGAATATTTCTAGTCTTCCTGTGACACTCCTAACTACTCTTGAATTTGTACAAGCAGCACTGACATCCGCTCAAAAGAGCTGCAACAGTTGCTGATCTAAAGATACACCTTCTCCCTCAAAAGACAGATGGCAGAAAATGCAGATGCTCCTTTAAAAGACAGAAGAGAGCAATTACTGGGTAGGTTCTGCTCAGCACTGACCTAATGCTTTAAGGCGACCTACAAGCATAATTGGTCCTGCATGCTCCTTCTCACCCTCTTTTACGATGAATACACAGTGCGTGAGGCATCTACAAAACGGACGACAGCTCTGCGTTTCTGCAGAACAGGAAACTCATTTTCCCTGCATGTTCAAGCCTGCACGTACCACAGCTGAACGTGAGACAGGTTCAATGGCTATTAGATCATTTGGTTAGGCTATTAGCTTGTTAAAAAGATGGCAAGAAGCTCATAATGCAGCTTATGCTGCAAATATAAGCTCCTTTCAGGCAAACCTGCTAATCTGCACCCTAAAGACATTTTGCAGTATGCTCTGTAGTATGTAAATTTCTACCCCAAAATATCCTAAGAAACACTCTGCTCCCACATCGATACCCACAGCAATTCTCCATCTGGGCAGAATACCTTGCACACTGTGCTGAACTCACTAGTACAGACTCACATTAATCTCTGGAAATTCAAACAGCACTAGCATTTATCTGTCCTACAGGAACAAGACAAAAGGTGACGATACACTGGAAGACTGTCTAAAGGACTTGACTCTTGAAGCTTCCAGTGAGGTACATTCATTTAAAATCAATGTCAAATTAAAAGACAGAGGTAAATAAATTACCCTTCTGCCTGGTAGCCTCCTAGAAGGCAGTCAGGATTTCAAAGCAACAAGTCTTTTGCCATATTGAAGAAGTGATTTTTATTCCTGCTTGTGCCACTTTATAGTGGCTCCTGTATAATGCAAGGAAACGTTTCACATTTGACCACTAATGAAATTCTGGGTTTAATGCCCAGTGAGGCTAGAAGTGCTCAACTATAGTTGAGGTCAGCTAAAAAGTGCTTGGAATACACCATATGCTGTTGCAATGCAAAATGTTTTGATAAAAGTAAAAATAAATCAGGCCCAAGGTTTAAAATTAGCCATTTGACAACAGGGGCATATCTGATTCCCTAAGTCTCATCAGCAATAAATACCTCTGCACCTCACCTCTCCATGTGTAAAGTTAGGGTAATGACACATTTTTATTATTGTGATGTTAAATTCAGTATTATTTGTGAAGCACTCAAATGCTACGGTTGAGAGCATGACAGATAAGCAAGCATGTGAGACAAACTAATAATTTTTTATTCAATGCAAGGTTTCAATGGTATGAATTTAATAAGACCTGGCACCACACAGTGAATAAAGATGAAAAGAAATGCTGAATAGCTCCATGAAGAAGAGATCCTGTATGTGACCAGATAATTACAGCTACACTTTAATACTTATGTACAAGAGGAATAAATGTGACAGTGAAAACCTAACTTCTGACAGTCCTCTTCTTTTTTCTAACATTGACTCTGTAAGCCTGACCTTCTTTTAAAACAGACAAAATATGTGTGTATACATATGTGTATATTTTATAATTGCAACACAGTAGCAGAGAACTATTTCTGAAATTTCTCGAATTGGAAAAAAAGAGAAAGTAGAACCAAAACAAGCTCAGAAAGAAGGGAGAAATTGGTGTGAATTTGCTGGGAGTCAGGATGCCAGAAACTCAGTAATCAAGGACGTTCTCTGGCATTCACTCTTTGAATTGCAGAAAGTCAACACAGTCTTACGACTCTCATGGTACTTCTGTCCCTTTGTACGACAGCTACACTATCTAACCATTTTATATTAATAGTGTGGACTTTATTCTCTGGATAGAGTGGCTTTTTTCCTAGAGACTATGGTTAATTAATTGGTTTTGTTCTGGTTGCTGGAAAGTTTCTAATTAGCTGTTCCAGAGGTCTTTTTTTGTGTCTTTCTTCCCTTGGGCAATTCCAAAATGTCTCTACAGAGTCCTGTATGCTTGTCAGGTGGCACAGAGTCACTGTTTCGAGGGATCTTCCCAATAAGTTGATATCCATAGCATCCCTAAGAATTTGTCTTTACTATGTTTTCTTCACTCATTACTTGCTCAGTAGGGGCATCAAGAGACTCTTTTAGATAGATAGGTAGATATGTATATACTCACACGCACATCCATATATATATACACACACACACATAAATACATATATATATTTCATTATAAATAATGACATTGGTTACACTTCATAAAACTGAATTCTGTTTATATTGGGGCTTCCTTTTGTAGTATATGCTAAAGCAAGGGCAAGCCTATGAATCTGTATTTCTGATAGCTGTCACACCCAAGAGAGGACAAAGGACTGCCACATGAATGTGATCCAGGTTTACAATTACTGGCTGCTAACATCCAAAGTTTCTAAACTACTGACCCATCAGCTTGGACAAATGTCTGCTTCGGCGAATGGGTTTGCTACAAAGGTTAGTCAGCCTGTCCCGGCGTTATGTAGCTAAAACAGACAGCATTTTTAGAAAGGCAAGCTGCGTGTTGAGATCATCAATGGCAAAATGCAATGACACATTTTCTAAATAATCTCCTAAGAAACATAAATTTGTGCGTTTGTCTATTTATTCTAATCTGCACCCCGACCATTGAAATCTGTCAGAACAAGAATGGTGCATAAGCCTCTGTAAATATGGCTGAGTTGTGCAAAACCAACAGTAATCCTTATAATACGCAATCTATCACCACAGTTCTTATCTCCTGTTGTATAATCCCCTGTACACATTAACCTTTTAGCAATATTGCATGTAGAAGAAAAATCCTGAGTATGGCAAATACCCCTTTAGCAGAATTCATCCTATATGATACAACTGTTAAAATGACATGCAGTGCAGTACTATTTCTCTCACTCTTCTACCCGTGGCTCTCCTTCCTCTGGGGCAGATGCTCCAAGAGCAAAGCACTCTTTTCTGGTGTGCAGCACCCTAGGAACTCTCCTTCTACAGTTACAAATCCTTTCCTTCAAGCCTCAGGAAGGGAAACATAGCATTTTGAAAGCCAAATACTATATCAGAAATTCTACCCGGTAGTTTGACCCCTCAAATAGAAATGTTGTTAAGTACTGCCAAAAACACTCTGGTCTTCTATAATGAAAGGATATCCACTGCTTGTGGGTAAGGCTTATTCTAGAAAACCAGATGCTACATAGTGGATCAGGCATCAGCAACATGTGCTTCTGACTTCACTACAAGTGCCCTATAGGAAAGCTATTTTTGTATTTTAGGGTCACCAAATAATAGGCTATTGTCAGAGGTCCCTATGCCTTGACGTGGAAACTGCTTTTTCATAGAGCAATTTCATGCTGATCTTTAACTTTGATTATTTTTTGACATGAACAGTAATGAGTCCACAAATCAATTATCCTTTAGATTATGGTGTTAAGCATATTCATTTTTATAATATTTTTTCTAGTCAGACAGCTAGGTTGCTTTGAGCTGAACACTGAAGACTTTGAGCCTGCCTGACTTGAAAGAGAAAATAAAAAGTCTATTTCATTACCACATATATATGCCTGTATAATGTTTGAAGTCAAGACTGGAGCTTTTCAGGGTAGTAAAAAACTGCAGGGATAGGCAAAATTAAAGTACTATTAAGGTAACAATAACAGAAGCCTTACCGTCCAGGTGACTTGAACTGTCGTGGGTGTCAGCACTACAGGATTATGCAGTCGTACAATGACATCTCCCAGTTCTTTCTGGACTTGCCTGTGATCCACACCTTGTGCTGGTGGGCTGATATCTGCCAGGCCAGGCACAGACATGAAGGCAGTATTTTAATGAGAACAGTTATATATGGCATCAATATTAATTACTGAATATCTTAACGACCTGATTTAAACACCCTTTATCATACTGTTTTTAAAACAATACAGTACTAAGGTTTAAATATGAACTCCAAAGCATATCAACTACTGCAAACAAACCATCCACCTTCAGCTGCTTTGGAAATAATGAAATATAAAGAAGTTCAAATGAGTATTCAGACTCGATGGCAATGTTTTCTCAGATCTGGTAAGTGATGAGAGAGATGCAATATTCACTAGTTCTAAAATACTCAGATAATAATAATGTTGCCCAGATGTCTGGAACCAAATTGGTTAGGATAATTGAAGAAAATGAACAGTGGTTTTTGGTTGTTTTTTTTTTATTTCCTTAGAGCATATATGACATTAAGTCATTATATGCCTGCAAACTTTCACTAGGCTTCCCCTCCCCACACACCATGCACACAAAAAAACACACACTAAAAATAGCATTTTCTTCTGCAAAGCAGATTTTCCCTTTACAGATATAGATAATGAAATCTAGTGCGAATATGAAAAAAGAATTAATTTATGAAGCCAAACTGATTCTGATCTATTAAAAGGCCAACAAAAACACTCTACCACAAAAAATTTCTCTTCAAGATTATGTCAGAGATTCTTTTAAAGTGTGTGGGGAAATTATTTCTTCTAGGCAAAATCTGAAGGCATTTGATCACTTAGTATACATCTATGGAAAACTGTGACTCCATCTCCAGCACCACATGTGGCCCTACTACTTAGTCTTTAGGGACTACATTTGGGTTATGCTGTTGTGTTAAACTGAATGAAGTTATATTACCTTTTCTAAATAGAAACTGCAAGTACAAAAAATGTGTCAGAAAATGGAGAAGGAGATGTGCAATGTGTCTTTTTAGTGACAGTTCCTGGAAATCATCATTTTCTGTCACATTTACGTCAAAAGGAGGATGTTGGGCTACAGCTATCACCTAGCTAATATATCACCATAGCACGTCCCTTCCCTCCAACTTAGACAGAAATGAAGGTACTTTCTAGGAGCCAGTGAAGTCTGGATCCCTCCAACGGATCCTTCAAGGAACTTCCAATACTGTTCTTCGTTAACAGTTACAGATGCCCTCACTATGTCAATTGTCTATGTGGATTGCATAATGCCTGTTAGAAATACACATACTGATTATTTCTGCTGGAATTTGCTTGTAATTTTTCCAGAAGAGGGGATGTGGAACACAAGCGCAGATTATATTCAAAAAGACCCCATACATTATGGTCATGCCTGTCTAGGCATCTGCGAATTCTGCTTGGTTTTCCCATGGGGTTTGCTAGCCAAAGACACTTTCCCTCCTTTTGGATCAACATCTTGTCCTTGTGAAGAGAATACATACATAAAAGGTCTTTTTCCCCCTCTGATGGTCTTAGATATGGGAGTATGCAGCATGTGATTTCTTTTTATCTTCAAAAATGAAACATTTACATATAATAACTAAGTTTGAATCACCTGCCTCCAGATTTTGAATGACATTCGGTTTTGATCATCAATATTTCAGCTTCATAATTCTGGATTGTTATGGGTTCTGAGCCACCAATAAACAATACTGTCACAGGCTTCTACGGATATGCAAATAAAAATGGCTCCATGGATCTCCAAAGGGAATATAATCCAAATATGGATGTCAGTGAAGGAGCTTGCCTAGCAAATTATGCCTATTCAAAGTGACCATGAAACAGAGATATAATAAAATAAATCTGTAAGACAGCAACTCAGCAATCCTGGTTTACAGAATGATAATTTATGATGCTACCCACAAAAAGCTATGTTCCTTGGTACAAAATGACTACAGCTACCCATGGATACATCTCAGGTTAAGTTATCCTGTGGTATACAACCAACAAAGTACCTATATTCCCTCAGGAGAAAAGACATTTCTACCTAGTGTGTTTGCATATCATCATTTTAATGGGACATATGTCCAGAAGTAAGGGAATAACATGAGCTAATAACAGTAGGAAATGAGTATCAAGTTGTACATGTGCAATTCTGTTTTCTGGTATACACACTTGGAAACAGATGCATATGTGATGCTCACAGTGTAAGGTCTTCTAATGTCATTTTCGCATTACTAGGAGACTCCTGATGGAAAACCAGGTGATCTACCTATAAGGATACTGTCAAGCACTGGAATAATAAAATCATGACTCAAGCGAAACTGGCTCAAGAAACTAGATTCTGATCACAGTTAAGAGGTCTCTAAAATTAAATTGGTTATATATTTTCTCTAACCTCTCTTTTAACAGCTTCCAGTGAACTTACTATTAGCTGCTAGTAATTTAAATTCCAGGGATAAGATTATATGTAGTTTCTTTAAAGTGTTTTTAATATACGTTTTGGCCTGTTAATAATCCAAACAAGAAATCAACTACTTACTTAGAGTAATTACTGATTCCTCTGTCCTTATTTGATGTAGGTCATATAAGGTAAACCTTTTGAAAGTGCCTGATCGTCTACTTGTCGTCCGCTGGTGAAAATATGCATAAAATCCTATCGCTTGTCTTTGCTATACTTAATACCAGGAAATTAAATGCTCAGCTATTAAAGCTACCACAGACACCTGTTGCAAATTAATGTTATATAGCACTGTTATAAGTGCTTTTTTCTTTCTCCATGGCCACTGTGAATAGGCTTTCTACTGTGTGTCAGCTTCTTCTGTGAGCCTGAATTGAATTCAAGCATAATTAGAAATCACATCAAAACATTATGTTAATTTTCAATTGATTTTATGATTTAATTCTATTAAACTGCAGGCTTGCAAAGAAGCTATAAATTCTGTACATGTCTCAGTGTGCTTGACTGCTAAACAGCTTCTGGAAATGGAAGCTGCAACACATGCTGTAGCTAATTAAAAGACATGTTTTTACTGAAATCAAATTGCTTGTCAGTATGTCAGATAAAAAGTCTATACTTGACACCCAAATGCCAAACAAAGTTGTTTTTTTAACTAGGTGATAAGTTATGCAGACTAAAAGGCTGATGCAATGAAAAGCATGAGGCACCCTATAATAATAGAAGAGTAAGAAAGAGAAGAAAACTTGTGATACTCTGTGGATAGTCAAGCCATGAAAACCCTGCCCAACTCACTCCTTCAGCTTTTCAGAAAGCAGCTCTGTTTCTCCTTTTACAGCAATGATTACTATTTTGAGGGGATAATTATTAAGTACAGATTTATTCGGGAATAGCCTGGGATGACAGAGGCTGGATGTGGCGGTTATATGATAAAGAAATACTACCCTGCTCTTGTTTCTCTCTTTCCATCTAGGACCACAAAAGGACCCAAACCACTTAACACATGCTGGAGGCTGACAAAGGATGCACTCTCCATGCACACTTTTATAACTTCCATAAACAGAGGATCTCATTCTAAATTAACTGTGAGAGGAGCTATTACTTTGGCCTCAAACAAAGTATGTTTTCAAAAAATTATTAATTCCTGCTTTCCAACCTGTTTAACACAGAACTATACTCTTTAATGAAGTATTCAAGCAATGTGTTGTCAAAGCCAAAAAAATCCATGCTGTGAAGAGAAATTTGTTTGTGGCATTTATACACAGTTAGAGCCTTGATGTAATATGAACAGAATTCAATAGTCAATTCTATAGAAATGGAGGATCACAACCATTAATTATATCACCACCCTATAAATGAGGGATTTCGCTTCACCCTCTCAGTTTATGCAGTGGATTAATACAAAGAATTCAGAAATCTAGGTATATAAAGAGAAGACCCATGCTTTTCTGAGAATAATTTCAAAATATACTTCACATGCAGATGACTTAATTTACATGAATTCTCTGCCTAAATGTTGGACCAGATTAATCAATACACTACAGGCATTTTGTGCAATTCTTTTGGTTAAAACTAATGCTAAACACAGTGTCTGTCTGTCATAAGCACTTGTTATTGTAGTATGTCCCTATTATAATAATGGAGAACAAGTAAGGATTATTCTATGACACGGACAGAAAAGATACTGAGGAGAGCATGGTATTCAGAGCACTTTTCAGAAAAGCTTGGGTAACTCACATTACGTTCAATAGAAGCCAGGCATCAAGGAGCACACCAAGTCTATGTGAACTGCAACCCAAAAGGTCTACAATGTACCAAGGATTAAAGAGCTAACCTACCTCTCCTAAGCTCCAGCTGATACAGCAAACACTGAACTATTTTTTATCTGTATTGGTTAAGCTCGATTCATGATTCCTTCAGTCAGAGGGCTAAAGCCAAATGGCCAGACTGACGTATTGGTAAACTCTCAGTTCCTTCTTTCTATTCTAGCTCAAGCATGTAAGTCTTAATAATTACTATTACCTTGTGTTCGGACAGGATCTGACATAGGGCTGGGATCACTCAGACCTTGCGAATTGATAGCTCTCACCATAAACAGATAGATTGTATTGGGGCGCAGTCCTCTCACAGTGTAGAGAGTGGTCTTCACATGGTTAGCCACTGTTTGCCAACTATTGCTCACCGACTGACTGCAATGACAAGAGGATTGAAGATTATAGACTAATGCAAGAGAAAAATGAAGAGTGAAAGGACCTACTTTTGTATCCCTATATCAAGTCTAAGTACAGGAAAAAGTAGTAAAAGCAGGGTAAAAAAAAAAATATTTGTTTCAGTTAACTCATCAAGATGGGATAAAAAAATAAGACAGCTGTCAAAAGTATTTCTCCTTTCAACAGAAGCAAAAGCTTTTCCTATCTCTCTAAAATAAATACCTACGAAAGGAAAGCATGGAAAGCTGTAAATAAATTTGAATGTAAATAGGCCACTCTTGCACATAAACCTGAGAAAAGAAAATCCTGTTAAAAGAGTAATTTTCTGTACTGCTAAGTAAATCATATCAATACATTGTCATTGGAAGACAAGTATTCTCGTTGAAAAAAATTTATACCAAAGTTACAAAAACAAGGTCTGAAAACATGCTTGTAAATGAAGGAAATTATATGAATACTTTTTCTGTCACTACATTTTCCATTGGACATTATTATAATTAGATTACAATCCACTGTATGAAGAGATTTCAACTTTAAATGAAAATGCCTGACTTTTGTTCAAGTTATTGGTGGGATGCCATTAAAGTTTATCTAGGGTCAAATATCACAAAAGTTTAAAGAGAAAATTTGATTTTATTGTGCTTTGTTGTGTAGCATTGTTTAAAGAATTCTTTAACTATACTAAAAGGAAAAAGAAAATGGAAAGTTTCATGTTGTTTCAATTGTTTCATTCATGTAATGTGTAAAGGACAGTACAAGTTCCAGAAGATGACCAACGGTCTGCACACAGAGTAATGTTCTTTGCATATTAACTTACCAGGACGAAGCATTATCACTACAACTTCTTCAATTTGCATGCATATGATTCTGACAAATTCGTATATGAATTTTAATTAAAAGATTAACTAAATTATTCGTCATTTGTTGCACATCTTAATTAAGGAAAATATTTTAAAATGTGCACATTTTTAAGCAGAAGCCTATATTACTGATACATGTGTGAGGTATGTGTGAGGTTAAACAAACTTGCTGAACTGAGGCCCAGGAGTCCCTTCCTACCATGTATTAAGTGCTGCTGTGTGGAAGGGAGCAGCTGGATTCTCTTCTACCTCAGGCTGCAGGATGAAATCCTAAATTATCAGCACTAGCCTTTTCAGTTGAAAGTTTTAATCTATCTAAACCATGTTGTGGTTTAGGCCCAGCCAGCAACTAAGCACCACGCAG